GGGTTCTAGCAAAGAACCCAAGCTCAGAGAGGCTCCCAAGAGCACTGGCTCTGACCTAGGCCACTGCCCAGCCCTTAGCTTCTCCACAGACTCCTCCAAATCTCAAGGATCAGCCATAACTCAGGATCTTAGCTCCCTCACGTCCTCAGGCTTCTCAGATCATCCGTGCAATTCAAAGATTCTTGACCCCTGTATCCACCCCCAACCCCACTCTCATCCCTTTGCTGCCTTGGGTGAAATTACCTCCTTCCATAAGCCTGCTGGGCCAGGAAAAGCAGCTCAAAAGAGGCTTCAACAAAGAAGAAGCTGGGGAAAATTAACAAGGTAACAACCTCCAGATTCTTGCTCTTATCCACACCTGCTTAGATCAAACCATCTCCTTCCTGTTCATGACTCCAGTCTCCTCATTGCCATTCTGTGTCTATTTGTGCCTCCCTCTAAACCAGACTGCTGATCCTGCTAAAGTCCAGAGCTGACTGTGCAAGCCTCCTGCTGAGAACTTTTAATGGCTCTTCCTTTCCCTCCAGAGAAAGTCCAATTCCTTTAGCTTGGCATTCAAGGCTTTGCAGGATCTGTCAGTCTGGTTGGCCTCCTCTTTCCATTCCTTTCCTCACAGCATAGGCTTAGGTAAAGCTGAATTATTTCCCAGGCAATTCCCCAGGTAAGTCAAGTCACTTCACCCCTCTATGCTTTTGTTCACACAGCTCTCCTGCCTGCAGTGCCCTTCCTCCACTCCATACTCAGCTCTGCTTATTGTTCATAAAGTGCCAGCATCCTCTCCTCCAGGAAGTCTTCCCTGACCACCCAGAGAGAAGGGACCACTTCCTGCTCCAATCCCTGGGCAGACTCTATCTCAATACCTGTGACATGTTGGTGATCTGGTAGGTTTGCTCAGCTCTGAGACTGAGAGTGCCCTCGAAATCACTGAATAGGGCAGTATAAATGGAGGGGAGAGGAAGAGAAACCAGAATAGAGCTCTCATCCAAAAGGGAGGAATAATAAATGACTTTATATCAATAAATCTGATAGCTTGGATGAAATGGAGAAATACCTTGAAAGACACAAACTATCAAAACTCATTCAAGAAAAAAAGTAGAAAAAGGACTCATGGAAATGGACAACAGTATGGTGACTGAATGGGGAGAGGGGAGTATAAGGAGGATAAATGGTAATGGAAAAAATACAATAAAGTAAATGGAGAAGGAAAAAAATATAAAAAATTATTGCAGTATTGAGAAAAAGAAAAGAAAAAACTAGATCCTCTAAATCGCCCTATTAAAGACATAAAAATCAGCCTTGGCCGGATGCTCAGTTGGTTCCAGCATCATCTGTATATGCCAAGGTTTCAGGTTCAATCCCCAATGAGGGCATGTACGAGAAGCAACCAATGAATGGATAAATAAGTGGAACAACAAACCGATGTTTCTTTCTCTCCCTTTCTTTCTCTCTGCTTCTCTCTTCAAGGTCAATTAAAAAAAAAATAGAAGAAAGCTTTAAAAAAAGAAATCAACCTGTGGGCCCTGGCTGGGTAGCTGAGTTGGTTATAATGTCCTCCCCATACACCAAGGTTGCAGGTTCCATTTCAGTCAGGGCACATACAAGAAGCAACCAAGAAATACATAAATGAATGAAACAACAAATCAATGTTTCTCTCTCCTTCTCTTTAAAATCAATAAACATTGCCCCAGCCGGATAGTTCAGTTGGTTAGGGCGTAATCCAGATGCACCAGGATTGCTGATTAGATTGCTGGTTAGGGCACATACAAGACTCAACCAATGAATGAATAAATAAATGGAACAGAAGGTTGATGTTTCTTTCTCTTTCTCTTTCTCTCTCTCTTTCCCCCTTTCCTTCTCCCTCCCCACCCTTCCTCTCTGTCTCTCTAAACTCAATTTAAACTTTTTTTTATTTAAAAAATAAATAAAGGTGGCTGGCTTCCTTGGAGAATACCACTAGACACTTGAGGAAATACTATCAATTCTATATAAATGCAATGAAACAGGAGGAGAGTTACTAACATTTATAGAGTGCCTATGTGCCAAATCCTATCCTGGGCAAGAGAGAGGCCTGGCTTCGGTTGGAGACCTGGAGCACGGTTTGCCAAGTTCTTGCCCTATGAAAAGTCTCAGAGAACATAAGCACTAGAGACGCTCAATCCTGGGATGGTACACATGTTACTTCTCTTCCCTGTGATATCCATGATAGACCTTGCTAATCAACTCCACCTCATTTCTGCTGAGTCCAGACAAGAGCTTTCAATCTTTCTAAGTATTACTTTCTAAGTAATTTCCCAGTGACCACTAGAGAAGCTGAAAATCAAAGTGAAAGCTATTGGTCATCTCTGTTCTAGTCTAACCCCGTCTGACATGGAAACTGAGGCCCAGAGAAGACAAGGGTCATACCCAAGGCCAGAGATTCACCACAGAGCAGACAGGATTTTAGAAACTGATTTTTAAATAGTTTGTGTAGAGGAGTCAGTGTTTGTGTTTTATCTCTTGCACCATATGATGCGTTCCTTCAGGAGAAGACCAGGTCTAGTTTAGCTTCTGACTCTTGTTCTGCACACCAGGTACACAGCAGGTGTCTGAAAATGTTTCTTGACTTAGAGAGGAGGGAGTGGAATGAATGAGTTAGATGGAAGGTCGGGGTATTAGCTCCCAAACCAGCAGATGCTTCAAGTATCTAACACTCAGAGATGCTACATTCTCAAAATGATCCACACTGAGAAGACAAATGGAGATATTTTCAATCTAAAGATGAGGAACTGAGGGTCTAAGGGAGACCTCAGGGTGGATTAGAAATGTGTCCACAGTAAAAATTTTACCATCTATAGACTAAGCTTTCAAACAGCAGAAACTAAAAGAGCTTTTCAAGTCAACCAAAATATGACATTTTGATGAATTTCAGCTGTTTCAAACTGCATTATTGGCTATAAATATCAAAGTAATGAGGCATCAGGGAGGAAAAGTCTCTTACATCCATATCATTTATGTGAGATCTTGTTATTGAACTTTGCTGTTAAAATATGATTGATGTATTTAAGCTTTTAGGGACCAATACTGCAGAGTTGGCTTTTTAAAACTATACACTGTATATTTAAAAAGTACACCAGTATGCCCTGGCTGGTATGGCTCAGTGAATTGAGTGCCGGCCTGCTAACCTAAAGGTCACCAGTTCAATTCCCAACAGGGTACATGCCTGGGTTGCGGGCCAGGTCCCCAGTTGGGGGCATGCAAGGGGCAACCAACCATGTATCCCTCACACATCAATGTTTCTCTCCCTCTCTTTCTCCCTCCCTTCCCCTCTCTCTAAAAATAAATAAATAAAATCAAAGTTTAAAGAAAGTGTACCAGTAAAATATAAATAAATTAAAATTAAATGTGCACCAGTAATAAATAATATTAATAATAATTATTATTATTATTATAAATAAAAAGTGCACCAGTAGCATTTAAATAGATGCACCTAAAATGTAAAAATAAAACTGAGAGAGAACCTAGGTCAGGGCCACAAGAATGCCAAAGCTCACCCAGAGACTAGGGCCTGTTTGCTTCTGTGGCCTCTTAAGAGACCCTGTTGGGGAAACAAAGGTAACCTGTCAGTATCTGGGCCTGGGGCTCAGCTCGGCATGGCATTCTCCATCACCCCCGCCACCTCCCTGTGTCTGTTCTGGGCCATGAGCCAGACACATTCCTCTGGCCCCCACAACTTCCGGAACTGGCAGTGTGGAGTTTGAGGAAAGGGCTGAGCAAAGCAGAAACCTCCTGAAAGAGATGGCAAAAGACAGATATGCAACAACCGCAGCAAGAGGTCTGTAACAACCAATGAGGAAACTGAGGCCCAGAGAAGGCAAAGGTCTCATCCAAGGCCATACAATGAGGGGATAGTGTAGGGGAACCTCCAAGGTTCACTGACAAAACATAAAAACAAAAACAAACCTCCTCTCTGATCCCTGCTGGATTTGATATTCTGCTACATAAAGGTCAAGTCCTCTAGCAAAGAAGGATGCATCTCAGGGTTTTAGGACCCCTAAATACTAGAAGAACCTGGACTTAAGAGCTCTTTTGGTTCCTTAGGAAAGAATCTTAGTGGTCCCATCTCTAGTCCATTCCCCTCTCTTCCCCTGAGTCACTCACTCACCACAAAGGAAGGGAGAGGGCCAGAGGAAATGAGGAATGTCTGGCTCTGGGCTGGCTCTCCTGCCACCATCCCATGCTATCTCAAGGCAGGTCCCCAAGTTCTGTTTCTGTTTCCAACTCTCCCCACCTCCCCGTCCCCATTGCTTGAGGCCTGGAGGAGGTAGGAAGGAAACAACCAAACACCCTAGGTTCCCCAGTGCTTACCCTCCAGTACCACCTCTTTGCCTGTCTTCTTCAGGACTTGTACCGCCTCATCATGGGTGGCAGAGGAAAGGTCTTCCCCGTTCACGGACAGGATAGCATCCCCCACAAAGAGAGCCTCTGTCTGGTCAGCCGCCAGGCCCTTGAAGATCTTGGAAATGAGAATAGGCATCTTGTTCTCCCGGCCTCCTGCACAGGCATAGAAAGAGGACAGAACTGAAGCAGACACTTCAACACGTGGGAGTCACATCAAGGCAAAATTATTTTTGAAGGCATCTTGCAGTGCCCAGCCCAGTGCTGGGAAAGGGTAGATGGCAGAGTAAAGAAAATCTCAACAACGAATTTTAGAAGTCTGAACAATAATTTAAAAATTTTTTTAAACAAAAAAAAATCTTAGAAGTTTAAGACATTAATAGTACTAATAAGTCATTTTCTTTTTGAAGATTAAAAAAACCCTTTTATTTATAAAGACTAAAATGATCATATGCAAATTTGAAGAGCTAGATTATATAAGAAATTGCTTGAAAATTCCTTTTTTGGTCTCTTCAAGAATTGCAGTCCATTGTACATGCTTTGTTTTTTCTTTATACCTAGAAAAAATATATGCTCTTTCAACATGTGATTTATTCTTCCTTTTCCCATGTATAGAAATCCTTATGATCCCTGACAGTTCTTTCTGGAACAAACTTTCCTCTTCTCCCCCCACCAGGTGCAGGGTTTACTTTTATAGGTTCTGCAACTAGAACAGGATTAACACACGTGAATGTTTTCTAACTGGGAAAAAGTCATTTTCTAAATTCTTAATGTTATAGTTTGGTCACTGGATCTTTTGGTCCAATGCTTTGGGTGTTCACCAGTGTTTGACTAATTTACAAGGTACTTCAGTAAATTTTTCTTAAATATTTTGGGTTTTGAGCAATTTTCCCACAGTGAGGGAAACCCACTAATATCCCATAATTTGGCATTACAATAAAATTAGTTATTGCCATGGTTTCAATCTAAGATCCAGGCTGGAAGCCAAGGCCTTAAAGTCTAGAGATTTCAAAGGCCTATCTGAATTGCATCTCTGATGCAAAAAACAACAACAAAAAGCTAATACATTTTACTGAATTGCTTTATTGCCAAGTTCTTGAATATCCTTCTAAAATAAGAAATAACAGTTCACATTAGTGTCATGTACCAAGTGCCAAACTGTGCTAAATGCTGTCAATGGGGTTTCATTGCATCTTCAAGATGCCCCAATCACACAGACATGCTGTTTCCTATCAGGAAAATGGAAGTGTGGAGAGAAGCCCCCTGACCAAGGTCATCCAGCTAGTAAGTGGCAAAGCCAGTATATATTTGAACCTAGGTCTCCTGGCTTCAGAACCAATACTGTTAACCCTATGGCAGACTGAAAGTAGGACCCTCAGATACCACACAGCGGTCCATCTCCAAAATACTAAAGATGGGGAACTAGTTGTCCAGAGGGGGCAGTCATTATCCCAGGGTTACAAAACAAACTGGTGCCAGATGTAGGATTGGAAGTCTCTCCTGACCCCCGCACAGACCCAATGGTTTGCTTATTATATTGCACAGAGCTTGAGCCCTAGGAAAGGAAGGGGTTTCTATTTATATCTACCCTGCTCTGCCTGAAACTGGGGGCTTCAGTTCAATGTGAAACTATGATCATTCCTGGCTGCCTGAGCTGGGCTGGACCCTAGAGGGGTGGTCATCAGGGCAACAGCAGCCCATCTATATATATAAAGAACTGAATGAACCTGGTACTTCCCCTGATACCTCCTAAAAGTTACTTCACCCCCACCTGGAAATATGGCACTAAGATGTAACTTTATATGACCTTGGAAAGTCCTTGCTCCTCTCCAAGTCTATTTGTCTATATGCAAAATAGAACTCCACATTAACTCTAAGTTCCTTTGACACATTACCTGGACACATTAGGTGTACAATACCTGGATTGATCTGTTGCCCAATCCCATCCTGGAGTTTAGGGGCAAGACTGGTGTTCACTCCCTGGATTCCCCATTTTCCTCTTTTATACCCCTTAGGTTGGCTGCATGGGGATTTGCCCTTCCATAGGAAAGATCAACTCCCCTGGGCACTTATCTAGTGGCCTGATAATTAAGATTCAAATCCTAGCTCTGCCACTCATTGACTGTGTGATCCTGGGAAAATTGTTTCTTTTCTGAGTCTCAGCTTCTTCACCTGCAAAACAATGATTATGCTCCCTACCTTTTACTACTTGTTGCCAGGATGAAGTGGATTATGAGCATAGAACACTGAGCACAGCACTTAGCACACAGTGGTAGCTGAGCCACCACCATTCCCACCCCCTCACCTATGGCAAAGGTCTAGAAACACACGAACAGAGCCAGCACCAGGAAGATGCAACAGTGCACATCCAGGATGATATGAAAGGCTGACAACCTTTTCCAAGGAAGACAGCACACTGCTGGGAGTTGAGACCCTGAGAAGTAATTGTGAGAGGAATGGTGAACCCAACAGCTGGGGTGTGCAGTGATTTTAAGCACACGTTTAGTTGCTTTAGAAATCTCTCCTGGCCTCCATTTCCCCTCCTACCTAACAGCAATAATTAACCAGGCACCTACTATGTGCTGGCAGGGTGAGTGCTTTAACCAGGCACGTACTACGTGCTAGCAGGGTGAAGTCCTTTTCTCATAGAAACATCACAACTCTATCACAAGCCTCATTATATAGTTGAGGAAATTGAGAAGCAAAGATGGGAAGTGACTTCAGTTCACATAGTTGATCCTCAAATAACGGTCTGGTTGCACTCTAAAAATCTGTCCATATTGGGAGCTGAGAGCTCACAGAGACGAATAACAATTATGTTCACCCCTCCCAATTCTGTGCAAGGTGGAGATGGTCAGACCAAGAAACTCAAACCTAGCTCTGCCTAGGTACATGGCATTCCTGGGTCCTCGGATTTCTAGGTCCTTTCTAGCCCCCTGTCTGTAAGCCCAGCCGGTGCCTCATCTCCAGGCACCCCTTTGCTTTGAACTCCAGGCCTTACCCCTAGCCCCCACCTTGTTTGTGTCTCAGGGACTTCCCCCTCCCTGCCCTAGTGACCTCCCAGGCCTCAATTCCTTTTTTCCAGCCTTTGCTATCCTGGGGGCCCCCTTGTCCTTCATGTCTATGCAATCCCTGACAGATAACCTCTCTTGGATCCCTATGCTTCCACACACAACTCCCCACCCACGTGTCCTTGGTGCGTCCCAAACCCCCTCCACACCTCTGTTTTTCGACTGAGACCTCGGACTCTTCAAACTCTCTCCGACCTTGGTGCTCCGGGTGCCCTCGGTTGCCTCTGTCTCCTCAAACCCTCTTACCCCAAGAGAGAAGTCCTCCAACTCCATATCCTTGGTACGCTGCCAGCCCCTGAGACCCATGCGCCCTTGGTGGCCCCTCGCCCACCTTTGATGCTGATGCCCAGCCCGCCAGCGTCGGCCTTGCGCACAGTCACCCGGCGCCGCTGGAGCAGCAGCGCCTCGGGCAGCTGCGGGGGCGCCGCGCCCGGCTCCGCGGCGCCGTTGAGCTGTGCGGGCTCCGGCTCCCGCGGGGCGCCGGGCTCCAGGCCGGCCTCGCCGTCGGCGGGGCTCACGGTCAGCGTGTCCTCCGCCAGACTAAGCAGAACCCTCTGCCACCGCTCGCTGCTGGTCCCCGAGCCCGCCCCGGTGCGCAGTTCCAGCAGCCCGGTACGCGGGGCGCGCCTGCCTGACGCCATCTTCGCCTACGAGCCCCCGGGCTGCCGCGTTCGCCCTGCCCTGCAGTGCCCGGCCGGGTCCAACCAAACGCCCAGGACAGAGGGCACCGGGGGCCCCGGCTGGGCCAGCCGCCAACCTACCCCCGGCTGCTGGGGGTGGAGCCTCTGGGGGCGGGGCTATCTGGGAGTGTGGCTAAGGGTGAGGGGCGTGGCCGCGAGCAAGCTAGCCCGAGGCTGGGGTACGCCCAGGATCCGAAGGATGTTAAGTGTGGGACACGACCGGGGGGTGGGATCACAAGGGCGTCGAGGCGAGGCCACGAAGTAAGGAGGGGAGCCTGCGAGGTGTGGGAGCTTGGCGGGGCGTAAAGGGGGCGGAACTTCGCGTCGGATCGGAGCCCTAAGATCCTGGGGAGGATACTCTGCTGGGCATGGCCGTCGGGGTCCAGGTCCGTAGCTCACACACGCAGGAGCACAAGAAAAAGACACATGAAATCCTGGTGCAAGGCTTTGGGCTTTAGAGCGGGGCTACGTATGGTAGAGCGCTCGACCCTAAGGACAGGTGTTGAGTTTCTGAGGTAGACACCAAACCGAAAACGCGGTTGCTAGGGGAGGAGATTCGGAAACAGCTAGCTCCCCACTGTGGGGCCGGAGCTTTGGTCTAAGGACGCAACTTAGTGTGGGCGTGGCTTTAACGCTCGCAGGCCACGCCTAATGGGATGAGAGCGAGCTCTGCTTAGGGTTTAGGGAGGAGGCCGACACAATCCTCACTTCCAAGGTAGCTTAGAAGGTTAATTCCCTGTTCTGTTCACAATCGAATACAGAAAAACCTGAAGTCCCACACTGAGAGACCTGTCTGGAAAACCCCAAACTACTCCCAGTGGGAGGGAAGAGGACTGGAAGATGGGACTCTGGGTCTGGGACCCCGGAGACTTAGTTTAGGATCCCTTCTCAGACACAGCTCCATGTCGACCTTGGTCTCATCACTTCACTTCTCTACGCCTAAATTTCCTTAGCTGTGAAATGGGAGTCATAATAATACCCACCTCAAAGGGCTTGTGTCAGGATCAAATTGATGTGAAGACGTGTTGAAAACTGTAAATCCCTATGAAATCAATATCACCTTCATTTATTGAATGCTTACTATTGGCCAGGCGTAGATCAGAATATTTTTCATGCGTTAGTTCATCTTTAGAGTATCCTCGCAGGGTAGCTATGTATACCCCCATTATAAAAAAGGGAAAACCTGGATTGAGAAGCTCTATTTGGCCCAGGTCACATATTTGTGAGTGGAGCAGAGCTGGGATTCAAACTCAGGCCGATTTGACACCAGTGCCTCGAGACTGACTTACTCTGCTTGAAAGCTGCCAAATATAGAAGTGAGGTGTAATAGTTACCAGAAAAATCCCACTACATCTGCACATGTCAACCAGCCCTCATATCTACTGTCTCTGTCCCCCATTCCTAGCTGGAATGTGTTCAATAAATAGCAAGGGCCACATCAATATGTAAACTCCCTGCATCTTCAAGTAGCACCACCCACAAAGGATGCCATAAAGACAGAAAAACTCACAAGAAAACAGATATATATATATGTGTAAATATATGTATATATGTGTATATATGTATATATGTGTATATATGTATATATGTGTATATATGTATATGTGTGTGTGTATATATATATATATATATAAATTGTCCACAGCGAACTTATGTTTTCAAATAACCAGAGATAAATCCAAATGTGCAACAATAGGGGAATGGCTCTATACCCCTAAAAAAACCCCGAGACCACCTACAGAATAACGGATTAAGCTACCTGGACAGGCTATGCATTGGTATTTTAAAAGTATGACTGTGCTTAATGATTTCAGAGCAGCCTGAGAAATATGAAGTTGAGCACTTGTGATCAATGAAAACTACAATCTACTCAGCTTTTGGAAACTTCTTGTTATAGTGAGAAGGGAGGGGAGAAGGGATCAAGCAGGAAACAAGGGACCAGGGGGAGGTGAGACTCTTTTTCCCAGGACCAAAGCCTGGAGCCAGATCTTTAAAA